AGTACAGTATAATATCATTTAGTAAACAATAAATATTATTTCATGATATAATATTTTGGAAAGATTGTCCAAAAATAGGAAGTCACATCATTGGAATACTAATACTAAAAATCTTCAAAATCCATTTTCATTTTAGTTGAATTCATCTTTTGGTGTCCATGACACTGAATTGACTTTCATGTATGACCTGTTAGAAAGTTCTCTTGACTCTTAAATAGGGTTCAAGGCAGATCAAACTTATCTGTTCTTTAAGAAACAGTATTTAGTAAAACAACATTTTTTTCTTTAAATACATCCTTGTACAGTTAGTACATAAAGGGTGATAGTGATTTTGATACCCCCTCCCCATCATCAAAACATGATTTCAGTAGGATAAACTGTTATTGCCATTTGAAAGATAAATGCCTAACAGTGAGTTGTGCTTCAGTATTTCTTCATGGTTGCTAGGAACACAGTTCATATGCTGGTGACAAACAAATATTTCTCCTTACTGTGATGAGACCAACCTGAGAGACTGCCACTCCTTTCTGAGCTGTTGTGAGAGCTGGTGGTGCTGAAATCCTGAGACTGGTTGTGTGGCATTCTATTAGACAATCCCTCAGCCAATCGGTAGTCAGGGATGTAAAGTAAGGCTAAGGGTTAAAGGGCAGAGGTCATAGTGGCATCATGTGATTAGTTCACAGCACAAGCCCATGCAGAACATGCAGTTAGCAACTCAGAAGCAGATGTCGTGGGAGAGTGGAGGAATGTTTTGTCTATCCTGTCCTAATGGAAGTAGAGATGGATTGCTGATCACTATATTGAAAAAGAGCTAAAAGGATGAAACCGATTGGTGTTGGTTTGTGGCGGTGGTGGCGGTGGTGGAGGTGGCGGTAGGGATTATTCAAATTACTGAATACATGCCAGTATATTTTTTGAGTTTAGACAGTAAACCTGATAATGAATCACTAAGTCAAACAACAAATACTAATTTCTATCTCATGCACAAATGATATGAAAATAACTCTCAGGACACAAGAACCTGACTCACCATTGTTACCTTTGTCCTGATCAGGTAGAGAATAACCAAATCCCATCAGATCTGTTTTTTGCTGAATTGAGCTTTTCCATTGTGGATCAGGAAGATCGACAGCCAATTCGTGTATGCTATTGGAATGCAATATTTGTGTCGTGGCATATGGGGTAGCCTGTGTTATTTGGCTGGAACTGTTGTATGTGGTTTTGGTAGTGAAGTCAATGCTGCTGTAAATGGCTCCATCTGAGAGCATCGTTGCTGTTTTATCCCCTTGGCCTGGAACCGGTGGCAGTACATCTGTGGTGAACATAGGGAAATGAAACAATTTAATGATGCTCCGGAAGCCCAAAACTATCAGGATTGAAGATGAAAAATAAGCGTGTCATGCTGCATGTTTGCATTTCAGCTGAGATGGGCTTCAAGAGCCAGTGAAGGGTAGATGATGTACAACCATCGCCAAGCTATCAGCCTCAGTGACAGGCAGCCCCACTGCTTGCCCTTCACATCTCACTGCTTAACACACCCCTCCCCCATTTTCTTCCACCATGAATGAGAAGTTTGGGATATTTCACTACTGAAAAATGCTTTCAGTTGTTCACTGTGTTTTAGAACCAATGAAGGTGTAAGTTTACAAAAGCAATGAATGATAAGAGTGAATCTACAAATCATGGATGAAAACATTTTTCCATTTTACCCCAAAAGATATAAAATACAACTGCTGAATAGATGAAAAATTTTCCCAAATTATACTATCCTGACTATGAAGTACTTTTTTCTGAAGTTTTAACTTGCCTGATTTGATTTCATAGCTCCAGAAATGGAGAATAATTGATGGTACTAAACGTGTTCTTTTTTCTTGGATAACAAAGGAAATTTTTCATGAATAAGTCATTTTCACAATACAGTAGGATTTGAGTACAGAAAAGGCAATCTCAGTGATCAGTGAGTTTAATTTATGCTATCAACTCTTAGAACTAGAGAATTATCGTTCCATGTTGTATTACAGCAAGAGTAAAATTAAACTTCAGAAACAACACTGAATATCAATCAGTCCATTTATCATTTTGGTATGCTGAATTATCTTTACAAGATGCTTTATAATTCAGAACTGCCACCTCTCTCCTGAACTCTTATTGTCCCTTTTTGGAAGAAAAAAACTAAGTGAATCTAAGAAGGAAATCACTAAATAACACTACTTTTAATAATAGAGAGTTAGAATGAATCTAATTGTGGTATCTTCCTTAATAATGTATGTTCTGAAAATGTCACTTCATAGGACTTGAGGTCATCAAACCACTTGATTTCTTAATTAGAAAAAATTTTCAACTATCTTAAAATTTTTAGATTAGATTATTCCCAATGGTGCTTGAAATAAAAATTATAGAAATATGTTTTACTTTTGCATATTACAAAAGTTAAAAATTGTTTTCTCTAGCAACAGTAATAAGAAATTTATAATGTATTTGTACTCTGTATCATTTAAGTCTTTCTGAAAGAATTGAAGTATGGAATTCCAATTTGTTGTACAATTAGGTAGATATGTACTTAATTGAAGTAAACATTTCAAATAGATATCAGTGAGATTGTTAAACATATCCAAATTTATAATAGTTCACCACGTTGTATAAGCAGATAAAATTGCTTTTGGATTTCAGATTTTTGCAACTACTTTCTTGCCCCTCTTGCTTTTAACTATATTCTAATTATAAAATTTGATATTAAGCATATATCATTTTTGAGTGTTGATATTTTTATTCTCAAAAACTTTTAATATTTAACATATCAAAATTGGTGAAAATAGATCCTTCACTTGGGTAAGTTTTCAAATTTTGATTTTTGCCTCTTCCACCATGTCTTCCACTTATGAATATTAACCAAACAGAAATGTTTCTCCAAGATGGGCCCACTTACACACACCTTGAACTCGAGATTCTCAAATGCTTTAGATTTGAACTGTAAGCCACTTCAACTGCAAGCTTTTGAAACAGTTATGTGCTTAAATGATAAAAAATGGAAAAATGTGGTCCAAGAATCTAATCCACAGAATATTGCTCTATAACAACTATTATACTATAGCTCTGGAAATAGAATCTCTCCTCTCCCTGCTAGACAAAATTACAGTCAGCTTTTAAGTTCTTCTATATTGACTTTTGGGCTCCATATTGTCTTCAAATATGATTTTATCACTCCCTTATTTTCGATTTTCAAAAAATAAATTAAATTATATCCCAGGATTGAAACAATGGAATATTACACATGAATATCTGGATGTGGAAGAGAGTTCTGCAATATCACATGGTTTGGAACTCTTGGCAGGCCTTCCTCCCAACAGGCTGGACCTGAATAGGTGCTGCCATCTTTAGGTAGGAGTTTCCATTTTCCATTTATCACTGTCCCCACCTACCAATCCTTAATGCTTTAGGCCAGGCCAGTGGTCCCTAACTTTTTTGGCACCAGGGACTGGTTTCATGGAAGACAATTTTTCCACAGACCAGGGTGGGTGGATGGTTTTGGCATGATTCAAGCACATTACATTCATTGTGCAGTCAAACCTCTCTGCTAATGATAATCTGTATTTACGGCGGCTCCCCAGTGCTAGCATCACTGTCTTAGCTTCACCTCAGATCATCAGGCATTACATTCTTGTAAGGAGCACACAACCTAGATCCCTCACATGCACAGTTTACAGGAGGGTTTGTGCTCCTGTGAGAATCTAATGTGGCCACTGATCTGACAGGAGGCAGAGCTTATGCTGTGATGCCAGGGATAGGGAGTGGCTGTAAATACAGATGAAGCTTCTCTCTTGCCTGCTGTTCACCTCCTGCTGTATGGCCAGTTCCTGATAAAACACAGACCAGTGACTGGGGGTTGGGGAACACAGCTTTAGGCTGTCTGACTGGTTGGCGCTTGTTAACATTTGTGTTCAAAATCGATGAATTACAGAAACATATCTCTCCAGTTGGAATTAGTAATTCATTCTGCAGTTTTTCAGCATCTTAGTTATACTTACTCATGCATTTATTTCCTTTGGCCTGGTAAAATTATCTGTATGAATGACTGTCTCTTTCACTGTATCATAAGTTATTTGAGGACAGGAGCACATGGGATTCATTTACATAATTTCTCAGTCAGTGTTTTGAAGAGAGTAAGCACTTGCTGATTTAAATGACTAAATGAATTTTTTATAGTTTGCTTTGGCAAAATGCAGATTTATGTAATAATTAGTAAATTTAAAATTCAAAATGCTATTTTTATTACATTCAAACATGTATTGATATTCCATTCTTAAAGGGAAAATGTCAGTATTCATGCTTATTCTTCTAAGTGAATATGTTTATACAGTCATACATGTGAATTGACCTTTATTAATAGAATACAAGTGGTGTAGACAAAAGAACCTAGGCTTTAAAATCAGCTTTAAAATCAGCCTGCATTCTACACCCATATCTAAAATTATTCATCTTACAACACCTTAGTTTCTTAGGGAAGTAAAACTCAGTGGAAATCAAGTGGAGAGGAGGGGAGGATGGCTGAAAACCTACTAATGAGTACAATGAACACTATTTGGGAGATGGGCACACTTATAGCTGTGACTCAAGCATTACAAAAGTGATCCATGTAACCAAACACATTTGTA